CTTTCATCTCTTCCATTTTGTTGCTTTTTCCCTTGTTTGGTTTTTTTATTTTCACTACAATCTTCTTCGTGTGTTTCACTACTGTTTGAAGGATGGGCTCCTCGGGTATATCGGTTACTAGTTGCGCTCCTGCTCCTATCGGTTCCTCGTCGATGCTCCCCGCCACCTCCTCTTCTATTTTCTTGACTAATTTCTTTTTCAATTTAGTTTCATGCCTCTCCTCTCGCGTTTCTTCATCTCCTTCATCTTGTTCTTGGGAACTTTTAGATGTTGTGACATCAGTTTCTTTATCGTTATCATTGGAGACAATCACTTTGGTTGTTTTGATCGTTTTGATCTTTTTCACTTTCGCCTTTCCTTTCCTATTCACTCCTCCATTTTCTTCGTCGCCTTTATCATCCGTTTTCTTGGGCTTCAATCGTTCCAGACGTCTTTTTGCTTTCATCTCTCTTTCAAGTTTCTTGATCGTTTCCGAGTTTGGTTCTTTTAGATCAGCAGATGGATTCTCTTCGTCATTACCACCTTGATTTCTCATTCTCAATGCTTCCGCTCGCTGCTCTTTGATAGCTGCACGGAAAGCATCATTGGAGGAAAGAGTGGTTGGCTCTAGCTCTTCGTCCTGCGCAGCAGCGGTAGTTGTACGAATTGTCGTTTTCATGGCCTCCTCCTCCTCGGAGGATTCTTCGCTAGATTCCTTTGCTAGAGTTGTGGGCGTAGACGTGCTGGTCATGGTAGTACGACTTGTCCTAACACTGCGCGTCGCGGCTAAGACAGCATCAAATTCTTCATTTTTCTCATCATCTCCGAAATCGCCGTCATCAAATTCCGGGTCGGCCCCGACCAAAATTCGCTGTCTGCGCGTAGTAGTTGAAGGTATGACGGTTGTCGGTGCCGTGCTTGCTGATGTGGACGGTACTGTAGTTGTGACAGTTGTATGCGCAGTTAGTGACGATGTAGCGGGTAATGTATCTACCACCGTCGTCCCTTGTGTTGTCTGGGTCGTGCTTGCGGTTGTGACAGGCACTGTAGCTGACACTGTCATTCCTTGTGGGGCGACCATTATCGGTGGCATTGCAGAGGGAGGCATTGGTCCTCGTCTAGTCACAGCACTTGCGGCTTCGGCATTGGGAAGGTCGCTGTCGTCATCTAGATTGTAGTCATCTACTTCAGAACCCTAAAACG